GGAAATCAGGAATATATGTAAAAGATTATAGCTAAATCCCGCACCGCTTACGAACGACAGTTGGCATATGATAGCTGTAATTGTCCAAAGCGATTGTTTTCGCACGTTAAACGGCGAACAAAAGGATTTGATGGCATTCCCGCGTTACTGTTATACGAAAGTTCAGATTTACTGGCTGAATCAGATCTAGTTAAAGTTGAGACATTTTCAAACTATTTTAGTGCAGTGTACTCCACGTGCATTTTTACAAGTACTTGTCCCGATCACACAGAGATACCAGCCATAGGGTTTGTACATGTGATTAGGGCAACTGCTCTTCCATTGATAACTAACCTCAAACCTTATAAGATACCGGGCCCCTATGGATTATATCCACGTCTGCTGACTTCGCTTGCAGACAATATTTCAAGACCGATGGCGACACTCTCCTCACATTCAACTCCCTAGAGATTGGAAAGACGCTATAGTCCGTCCTATATTTAAGGATGGTCAGAGATGGATCGTATCTAACTACCGGCCTGTCAGTCTTAACAGCACAGTCGTTAAGTTACTTGAAAAATGATTATACCATTGATGCTATATCTTTTCGACGCCCTCAAGAAAATAAAGACTTAGGAGCAGTAATGAGTAGTGACTTGAAAACAACTACGCATTGCTACGCAGCTTCTGCCAAGGGTTATCGTGTGTTATGGTCACTTCGCCGAGCATTCAAGTGCTTGATGAGGAGATATTAGGAATTTTATATCTCACCTATGTAAGACCACACTAAGAGCACTGTAAACAAGCAACTAGCCCATGTCTGATGAAGGATGCTAAGTCACTTGAGCGTGTCCAGCGTGTGAGGACGAAATTAGCGAGGGGTCTTTCTGAACTCCTTTACGATGAGCGCTTAGAATGCCTGAACCTTTTCTCCTTGTCATATCGTAGGACTCGAGGTGACCTTATACTGGCATTTCGTATCTTTAATTATGGGTTGGGTGTTAATATGTCTTGTCGTTTTGCTCCATTAAATATTGATAATCTCCGAGGTCATAGCAAGAAGATTTACGAAACGCGATCTAATTAGCTTAAAGTGGGATCCTGTTTTCGTCATCAAGTAACCAATGACTGAAACGCCTAACCCAAACAAGTGGTATCATCCCCATCAGTAAACATTTTCGAGGAGAAGCTTGGTGTTCACTGTGAGACAAAATGTAAAGATTAACACAGGTGTAGCAAACAACTGTCGTTATTGCTGAAGACTGACCCACATAGCACTCTGATTTAGTGGAAACGCTAGAGTTACTTGTCATTTCCTTCAGTTTCAGAATGAAAAAGATAAGCGTCGTACCTTGCCATAATCAAGAATGCTCTCGTAAAATCCAAACTCAGATCCCAAGAGACAAATCTTTTGCTAGTACTGTGTGGAAAGGTTTGAAGTTTAAAGACCCTTATCATGGATTCAGCATTTGTCACCCATGCACCAGTCTTTTAAACGTTCGTGCGAAAATATAGTGATATGATCATTCTTTAGAGTCTGAGTCCTATTAGTGAGAGAGGCTCATTGACTAATAAGATTTACAATGCTTCCTTCATCCCAAAGCTGGTCAAAAGTATCACTGGTCTCTAAACGCGCCACTATCCACGCTAAAATTAGTGATTGACTGACATATTTTCTATCAGATTAACTTGTTTTAGTCAACAAAGCTGTCTTTGAGCCCTCTCAGGATTCTAGAAAACCTAACGACAAAACGATTAATTGTCGTGACAATGCTTCAAATATTCGGTAAAAACGAGGAAAACAATCCGACAAAACAGGGTTCGATTGTATTAAATAACACTCTGCTCTGTAGTGTACAAGACCTCTGCAAGTCACTTGTATTCAACATATACATCAAACATGGATTTGATCATTTGTACACTTTTCCAACAAATCCTTGTCAGTCTGTTTGTTTCTATCATTTCTCGGACTTAATAATATTGGGTATAGCCTACGAACCCTACACGCTCTCTGGATGTCTCTTGTGTACTTAGTGCAATGCGATGTGGATTAGAGCTATCTTATCTAGTTCTGATTTCGCCTCACTAAAATTCAGTTACAGTCCGCTAGAAGTCTAATGTAGATACCGAACATTTCACAACAATGTTACAATGGATCCAAAACAATTACAGGGAGGATTTATTCGATTTTCATTCCACTACTACTCCCTCCACTGCGATCACACCTTCGTTCTTTCAGTTGTATGACACTTCTATTCTACCTATTTCTGTTGCACACTTCCGTTGAATTATCTATTCAAATACTCTCCCAACAAAGTCCGAGTGCGTGAATTATTGACATTTGTTTCTTCATATTGAACTTCAATTCCCTGTCATATGCCTACTTTAGTATCATCTAGACGTGAAACTTACCAACTCTGGAGTTTATGAATATCTTGACAATACAAATTAGTCGTATCGTAGGACTCGAGGTGACTTTATGCTGGCATTTCGTATCTTTAATTATGATTTCGGTGTTAATATGTCTTATCTTTTTGCTCCATCAAATATTGATAATCTCCGAGGTCATAGCAAGAAGATTTGCGAAACGCGATCTAATTAGCTTAAAGTGGGGTCCTGTTTTCGTCATCGGCGACCTGGGATTATTTGAAAATGTGAAGTCGGCAACCCGTTGGAGAAACAGTCAGACGCCGTCACGCTTAGACTGGGTATTCACAAACGAAGAATTCCTAGTTGACGACCTCTCAATCCTGGCTCCCCTGGGCAAAAGTGATCACGCCGTCTTATCATTCAGCTTTGTCAGCAAGACGGAGCTACGATATCCTACTAGCAACAAGCGCTAGAACTTCAAACGGTTGAATGTGTTAGCTTTACAGGACTATCTTCAACAGGTGGATTGGGATGTTCGCCCTGAAATTGAAGTGGATGCTCATTGAGATTTTTCACTGCACATGATCTTATGTGCTACTAAGCATTCAGTTCCTAAAATGGTCCCAAAAAGCTACAAGCAACCTGCAATCATCAAGAACCGCACTCGTCGTTTGTTAAGCCGCAAAAGGCACTGTTGGGCTGAATATAAACGAACGGATAACAACGGCGCGTACAGGCAATACAAACATATAAGGAACACATGCACAAAGGCAATAAGAGAAGACAGGCTTCAATTCCAGACCAAGCTTATCGATAGATTCGTCTCCAATCCGAAAAGCTTGTTCAGTTATGCAGCTTCTCTTCGACAAGGCAAAACTGGAGTTTCCCAACTGCTTGGTCCTAATGGCTCGACCAACAACGACAGTGATGCCGCTAACCTTTTGGCTGAACATTACTCCCGGACATTCCAACTGACCCACATCAACCATACTGACGAAAGCTTCACCTGCACCTGTACAGAACTTTCCGAAGTGGACCTGAGTGCTGACTTGGTGCTCCGTAAACTGCAAAACCTAAAAAAGACACTTCTCCTGTTCCGGACATGGTTCATTCCGCTGTATTGAAGGAAGCAGCTTCAATCCTGGCGACACCACTTAGCGTGATGTTTGCACACTCACTAAGCAGAGGCAAACTACCGGAAATATGGAAGCTGGCCCACATCACATCAATTTTCAAAGGAGGTCGACGCAGTGAACCCTCAAGCTACCGACCAGTGGCCCTTCTCTCCATACCTTCAAAAATTATGGAATCCCTAGTATTCGACGGCATACTAGAACACTTATCATCCTCAAAGTTCTTCTCGCCTCAACAGCATGGTTTCAGAAAAGGTCATTCTTGTACGACCAACCTGCTGACTGCGGTGGATAGATGGACAACCATCCTTGATCGCAAGGGGAAGGTTGACGTCATTTACCTGGACTTCTCAAAAGCTTTTGATAGGGTCAACCATGCATGTCTTATCAAGAAGCTTGGACGATTGGGTATAAAACCCCCTTTAATTGACTGGATCACTTCATACCTAGAAAACCGACATTTTAAGGTCAGGGTTAACTTCACTCTCTCTCAGGCTATGGAATGTCCTAGTGGGGTCCCCCAGGGTTCAATACTAGGACCTCTTCTCTTCTTGATTTATATTAACGATCTTCCTCAACAAGTTTCATCTGACTTATTGCTTTTTGCTGATGATGTGAAACTTTGGAGAGAGATACGTAATCATAATGATATACTAGTTCTTCAGGAGGATCTGACTCGACTTCAAAGTTGGGCAGATGACAACGGACTTACCTTCAACACTTCAAAGTGCAAGGTAGTCCATCTGAGACATGTTGCAGACTATAGTTATAACTTAGGTAACTCCCCTCTAGAAGTTTCCCAAGTTGAAAAAGATTTAGGAGTGTTGGTACCCTACGACCTGAAATCGTATGCGAACTGTGACAAAAACGCCTCTCAAGCAAACCTTGCACTGGTAACATTGAAGCGCATTTTTGGCCAGTTTGACGGTAGAACCTTCCATATAATCTTCAACAGTTTTATTCGTCCCCACTTAGAGTACGGAAACATAGTATTTCCTCCCTCCCTCCAAAAGGATAAGGTCACTCTGGAACGTATACAACGTCGAGCCACGAAATCAGTTCGGGGTCTCAAATTCAAACCTTATGAAGAGCGCCTCAAATCACTTAACCTTTACCCGTTAGAGTATAGGCGTCTTAGAGGTGATCTTCTTATGACTTATAGTATCCTTAATACTTCTGGTCATCCCCTTAAACAACTTCTTAAGCTTAGTCACAACACTAACCTCAGAGGTAACACCCAGAAATTGGAGACCCTGCATAGCAGAACAGACTGCAGACACAACTTCTACTCCGTTAGAGTTGTCAAGTTCTGGGCTAGTCCAAGCGACCTCTCAGGAGTCCTTTAAGAGAAAACTTGACTTATGCTTAAGGACTAAGGATAACATATTATTATGTTTTACCAAATTCTTTTTTTCCCTCTATTATCGTTCATATACCTAGGTTCTTGCCTGGAGGTATTGGTGATCCACTGCTACCAGACACGGAAGCCCGTTAAGCGAAAGCTTCTTCTATTCCGTCCTCAACCATTTGAACCATTTGAAGTAACCAATGACTGAAACGCCTTACCCGAACTAGTGGTATCAGCCCTATCAGTGAATATTTTCAAGGAGATCCTGGACCTTCACTAGAAGGCAAGCTGTAAGGATTAACACTGGTTTACTAGCCTACTAACCTTATTACTGAAGACTAATCCTGCACCATTCAAACCATTTGAAACGTAACGCTACAGGGTAGTTTTTGGTTCGAGGAATGGCCACGGCATTTGAAACCGGTAGGATTCTATATTTGCTTTATTTGAGGGTGAAAAGAATAGAACTACCCATAAATTTGACCTTATTTCAGATTTTTTGCTGATTCGTAGTAATCAGTCAATATTACTATACTGTAATGCACGTAGTAACAAACCCATTATTTTTATATTTTCTTACCATGCTATTTGAAGCTCTTACAAACTTTATCGTTTAAAGAGAGGGTTATACTTTGCAGGTTTCCAGCGCTCATCTTGTGAGACATTAACCAGTTCATCGTTATAATCAAACTTCAGTGTCAATTTGTAAAGGGCATGAATCTTTCAAAAAGGCTTTAATTCTTACCAAGAGAGACAAACAGTCGAAGCCCTATGCATATGGGCCAATCCAAACACTATTAATAGGAGAGATGGAATACAGTTAGCTGTGCCATGGCAACTAATCATTAATAAGTAAAAACTTGAACTCCTTTTCCATTTTATCTATCTCGTATTATCTGAATGACAGCAATTACATTCAATGATTCTAATCAGTTGTCTTATCAGAATTTGTCAAATAATTGACTGAAACATTAGGAGAACACGAATATTCAGTTTCAAATACATTCTCCCTCTTCGAATCCATTCCTTTATTTTGTTCATTTATCTTCATTTTATGCTTGTATGACATATATGGTTCATATTATATATTAGGTTTGTGTGTTTTCTTAAAAATTTACCGACAAGAGATAATATATAGTGAATGAAATTTCTCCTCTCACCACTTACGTTTATATACAATGTTATCTTAACAAATCGTTTCACATCACAAGTCTCTTACACACTATTACATATACCTACTTTAAACATTTTTTTAACGTTGATGAAATGACCTATTCAGTATACACTGAACTGGAAAACCATGTACCTATTTATATTCGATAATTTTGATGTTCGGTTATATTTCCCTGAAAAAGCTTGGACCAGATTCCCAGGCGAAACGTTGGATTTACTTCAAATTCGTTCACTGAGATTTTACAAATATTTCCTTCCTCTTCAATGTCTCACATCAACTCGCCGCCCAAATATTGTGAAATTATTCGTCCTAATTTAGACGAAAGTTCTAATATAGAATTCGAGGGATTTTAACCCCCCCCCTCAAAAAATTGTCATCTTACAAACTGGTTTCCATGTTTCCCTTGAACAGAAAAACCCATAATTTTGAGATGTTCCATTATTATGCCTTAAGAATGCTATGCTGATTACAGAAAGTCGTAAGTAGTCATAATAAACGGAAATAACTATCAACTTGTCGATCATATGGAGCTCTGGTGTCACAGCTGGGTGTTCTGTCATAACATCGAGTGCTTTCGTATACAATTGAGTAAGAAAAGTGATACTTTCTAGAGAATATTTTGGTTTTTTCCTGTACAGAATACCCAATATGGAATAACATGTTCCGTAATTCTTAATTATTTACTAGAAATGGGTGTATTACCTGAACTATCTAAGGCTGTACAAGAAATGGACTGGATTTTGCCTACCGACATTCAAAGTGAAGCTGTTCCCTTAATCCTCGGTGGAGGTGATGTTTTAATGGCTGCTGAAACCGGAAGTGGAAAAACAGGAGCGTTCTGTTTACCTGTTCTTCAAATTGTATATGAAACACTTAAACTTCTCCAATCTAATAAGCAGGTATAGTTTAATTAAGTTTGTCACTCCTATTAGAACAAAGCTAATATCTTACCAAAACATTCAAGCGGCCAGATGAAACTCAATGTATATGATCGTACCGATGCTATGGCAATCGATACCAATGGACTGCTTTGTCAAAGTCGCGATCCAGGTGGATGGCACGGAGCTAGAGCGAATCACGGAGTAAAGTGTTCAGGTATTGAATGGGGTGCTTATTTATCTATTCAAACACATAAATATTGGTACAATGAGGCGCTAGATATATATGCGCCGCATAAGTCTTATGTGATTTGTGTGTTGGCTGTGATACTGCCCAGGTGCTAAAACTGTAGCAGGTGGTTTTCTTAGGGGTCCACACCCGGAGCCTTTGACCAAAAGATCTGATCCACAAGGCAGTGGAACATCGTAAGGAGATGCAGTCCCATGGTAGCTGAAGACCAACGATTGATTCATACGCCATTTGTTCCCTCAGGATACTGGGGCCCATGTGCACTATTGGTTTGGAACCAGTGTTTTCTAACTTCCCCAGGTAGACTTTCCGTGTCCACCAGCCCAGTTAAAGCGCAGGACATTCGCTTTTCGTCCTCTCAATTTCGTAAACAACAGTAATGCCGCAAGAAGGCAGTGAGTAAGACTTCCCTGTCAGATACTATATGCGCATGGTCATGTTAGAGCATTTGGAAAGGGAGAGTGAACTCTTCCCACTCTCGGCCGTACCAGGGCATTTCTGGGGCTTGTTTATATATATTTCATTTTATTTTCTGTGTATCATTGTTTAAAACTTTAACAAAACACAAAATTGTATTATCATAATATGTTTAAGCACAACATAAAGTATTTTACTGTACAGCAAATTTATTTATGTTATTCACCACCGTAATCCGATGAGACTATAGTTCGTGGACGAACCAGTCAGATTTGAAGTAGCAAGTCTTCGATTTTGGCGTGAAATGCATTCATCCATATGACTAAATAGTATTTTGACACTATTCGTTAGTTCGTGATGAAAACCATAATTCTAATTCGTAACCCCAAATTGTAACTCTAAATCCCGATTTTGATTTCTCGCACTAATTTATAACCCGTAATAGACTGTGAATTTTCTCAGGGTCACTTTTGTGTCGCTCAAAAGTCGTCCATAAGTTGTAGTCTCACCCATAATTTTTTCATAATTTCCCGGGTTCTTTAATATGACCACAAATGGCACTAGATTCTCGCAATCTTATCTCATTACTCCTGGTCATGTTGTTCCACTAGAATTGTCCTTCAAATTTTTTAAAGTTAAACGAATTGGCTCAAAAATACACAAATCTGAAACCTGTTGACCAAAAAGTCTTTAATTCAGAAGTTCACTATTGAACCAGATTCAAAAGCACTACGTGTAATCTCCTATTCTTTCATGTTCCTAGTACCCCTCTCGACTGATGGTTGGGCCACGTGTTACGTATGCCTGAACACCGATTACCACGACGCGCAATGCTTACTAGTGTAGGGGATGGTTGGAAGAGAGTTAGGGGCGGCCAAACCAAAACATGGCATCAGTGCTTGAAGTCACTAACTTCTAGTCTGAGCCATGTTGGCAGATGCAGACTATTCGGTTGGGGTCCGCGTGACTATCGTAACCAATGGTTGGAGACTCTGGGTGACATGGCTGAGAATCGATCACAATGGCGTAGGTGTATACACTCTTTATCTTCCCTTAAACCTTGAGATTAAAATAGCTTCATAACTTTTTTCCTTCCTATACTATATCCTTATATACAACCTATCTTTTATTTACTACCACCACTAAATTAACTATTTTTATGAATCCGGTGTTCATCTTGTCGTACTAACGAGGTACGGCAACTTGGGCAAATGCATAAATGTGCCTGGTCCTAAGTTGTAGCTGACTGACTGACTGACTAGTACCCCTTCTAGTATATCTTTTTAATGATTATCCAGTTATCAATACCCTTACAAGTTGTTTCATAATTATTATTTGGTCTCAATTGTCACCGCGTTTTTCATCTCTTCATATCTATACAAATATACAATTATTTACCTGCCATATCTCTGGTCAATGAATTATTCTCATCTTACTAATTCAGCAAGATAAAAATAGTCATGATCATTTATTCAACCTCCAGATCTCAGCGCTACCTTATGACGCATTTGAAATCTCTACACGCCTTGTGACCAAATCTCTTTATTTTATCAGTTGGCTAATATAAATAATTTATTTATCTAAGCATTTTATTGTGTAATATTTTAACATAAAAAGGTCGTTATTACTATGAGGCGCATGTAACTGATGAAGGGCTATGTCGGGTCGGCTGGTCAACTTTGAATGCATCACATGACGTTGGAACTGATGCTGAGAGTTTTGGCTTCGGTGGAACAGGTAAAATGTCTCATCGACGACAGTTTGATTCGTATGGTGAGGCTTTTGGGAAAGGAGATACTATTGGCTGTTTCTTAGATCTTGATAATGGATCCATAAGTTGGTCGAAAAATGGTTAGTTCACTTGTTTACTATTTCATAATGTTTTTACCCTTCAATAACTGTACAGGCTTGTTGGAGTTTCTAGATTACTTTTTTAAATTTTGGTTACCAACAAATCGCCTAATATTACAAATGTTTGACCGTAACAAATACCACAAGTGTCACTGTTAGGAACATTTCCCCATATTTTTTACAAAACCAATAACAGTCCAATTCTTTACTGCATGGTATGATAAATCGTTCACATACTGAATTATTCGCTCCCGGATTATGTGCTTACGTTTCAACGCCTGTTGTTTTTCCAAACGTTCTGTATAGCTACTAAGGGAGTGTAAACAGTACTTTGCGATGATTTAAAAACAAGATAATATACTTGCGGCTTTAAGGAAGGAATCCTTCGACTTTCTAATATAGTTTGATGGAGTTCCAACAACTATTCTAATAGTTACTTATAATTATTCTGAATTACAATGTGCTTCAAAACAGCGGTAACTTGCGTTTCATTGCGGCCATACACTAAGTTGTTTCATATTGAAGTATAGAAAATTGACTCAATTATCCTAGAGGGTCTCCTGAAGTGTTCCGCGGCTTTACACTGTACCTGCCCAGTATAAGCTAAGCTACGGTAATGGTTCATTCCATTTTATTATTAGCTAGTTTATTATCAGTGTGGCCTTTTCAGAGACCTAATGAGGTTCTCTCTGTTACTTTCATAACGTGTTTCACTATGATTACGTTATTTTTTGATCCCAAATTTTTCCACCATAACTACGAATAAGTTTGCGGAATATCACTTCTAGAGATCGATGGATATGACGTTATCTTACGTAATGATGTAGCTCCTCATAAATATTATCTATTATTCTGAGCAATCACGTTTTGAGGAACGCTTTATTTTCATTCAGAACAACCGGGCAGTATCTCTTGTTTTCGACTAGTCAGTACACCTTGAAGTTAGTCAAATGGTTCTTCATTGGCTTACGAAATTGCGTTAAATTAGTGTCTTCCGCTCATTCTGAAACGCTTTTGTAGGTGATTACTCAATATACTTAACACTACGTGCCACAAATTTGGTGACAATATTACTTAATAGTCGGTATAAACTAATTGTCCCCCATTTCGATAAGTATTTATTCTTCAGCATTATACTTTACTTTTTAGGAATTGAACTCTATCATATATCTTCAACAAATTCCATAATTCAGTTACAGGAAATTGCGATTTTACACAGTAGATATTGAGAAATATTGTTCATTAAGTTTTTAACAAACTCCGCCTGTAGCTCTTCTAGAGTTACTGCCGGTCCCAAGCCCGGGTAAAGGAGGAGGGTTGGGCATGGGGTTAGCGACCCCATCCCGTAGAAAAGCTAACTCGCTAAAAAAATGCTAACCAGAAAAAATAATTCAAACCATTTAAACTCTGCCCTGGGAGTTGAAGCAATAATTATGATGTCTCATGATGAAAGCCGAAATTCTTCGGAAGTCACGAGACCGATGCACCTTCTAACAACCAGAGCAACACTCTTTATAGGTACATGGAACGTCCGGACGATGTGGGAGACAGGAAAAACCAGCCAAATAGCAATGGAAATGAGAAGATACAACTTGGCAGTACTCGGAATCAGCGAAACCCATTGGACACAAACTGGACAACAAAGGCTAGGTACAGGAGAGATGCTGCTGTACTCCGGTCACGAAGGGGAAAATGCTCCACACACTCAGGGAGTTGCTCTAATACTGTCCAAAGAAGCACGAAATGCACTTGTGGGATGGGAATCTCATGGACCCAGGATAATCAAAGCATCATTCAGAACAAAGAAGTCAGGGATCAAAATGAACATTATCCAATGTTATGCACCCACCAATGGTAGCAACGACGATGATAAAGATCAGTTCTATGAAAGGCTGCAATCAATTATAGCAAAGTGCTCACGAAAGGACCTCACAATCCTGATGGGAGATCTAAATGCTAAAGTTGGGGTGGACAACACAGGATATGAAGATGTAATTGGACGACATGGATTAGGAGAGAGAAATGAAAATGGGGAGAGACTTGCAAACCTATGTGCATTCAACAAATTGGTTATAGGCGGCACAATACTCCCACACAAACGTATACACAAAGCTACATGGATCTCACTGGACCACACCACAGAGAACCAGATAGACCATATCTGTATCAACAAAAATTTCCGAAGGTCAATGGAAGATGGGAGAACCCGGAGAGGAGCTGACATAGCTTCAGATCACCACCTGGTTGTGGCCAAGATGAGACTGAAGCTAAAGAAACACTGGACAACTGGACAAACAGCACTACAAAGGTTTAATACAGCCTTCCTTCGAGATACTGACAAGCTCAACCAATTCAAGATAACTCTCAACAACAAGTTCTAAGCTCTACAGGATCTACTGAAAGAACAAGAAACTACTTTGGAGGACAACTGGAAAGGGATAAAAGAAGCACTAACTTCAACGTGTCAGCAGGTTCTTTGTCCTAAGAAGAAGCATCACAAGGAATGGATCTCTCTGGGAACCCTGGACAAGATTCAAGAAAGGAAGAACAAGAAACTAGCAATTAACAACAGCCGAACACGAGCAGAGACAGTCAAAGCACAAGCAGACTACGCAGAAGCAAACAGAGAAGTGAAGAAAAGCATTAAAGCCGACAAGCAGGAATATATGGGAGAACTAGCAACGGCGGCGGAAAAAGCTGCAAGAGAAGGGAATATGAAACAAGTATATGACACAACGAAGAAATTGGCAGGGAGATATAGCAAATCAGAGAGACCAGTCAAGGACAAAGAAGGAAAGACAATCACCGAGATTCAAGAACAGAGGAAAAGATGGGTAGAATACTTCGAGGAACTGCTGAATAGACCAGCCCCATTGAATCCACCGAACATCGAAGCAGCCCACACTGACCTTCCAATAGATATCACTCCACCAACGATCGAAGAAGTCAAGATGGCCATCAGACAAATCAAAAGTGTGAAGGCGGCAGGACCTGACAACATACCAGCAGAAGCACTGAAGTCAGACATTGAAATAACTACAAACATGCTTCACCTTCTATTCAAGAAGATTTGGGAAGAGGAACAAGTGCCAACGGCCTGGAAAGAAGGATATCTCATCAAGATACCAAAGAAAGGAGATCTGAGCCAATGTGAGAACTACAGAGGTATCAGTTTGTTATCAGTACCAGGAAAAGTTTTCAACAGAGTGCTGCTGAATCGGATGAAAGACGCAGTAGACGCTGAACTTAGGGATCATCAGGCTGGATTCCGTAAGGATCGGTCATGCACAGACCAGATTGCGACACTACGGATCATCGTTGAACAATCAGTTGAGTGGAACTCATCACTATACGTCAACTTCATTGACTATGAGAAGGCGTTTGACAGCGTGGACAGAAGAACATCATGGAAACTTCTTCGACACTATGGAGTTCCTGAAACGATTGTCAACATTATCCAAAACTCATACGATGGACTACAGTACAAAGTGGTGCATGGGGGACAGCTGACAGATGCATTTCCAGTAAGGACCGGAGTCAGACAAGGCTGTCTACTCTCCCCATTCATCTTCTTTCTGGTGATCGACTGGATTATGAAGAATTCGACATCTGAAGGGAAATACGGAATACAATGGACTTCTCAGAATCTATTAGATGATTTGGACTTCGCAGATGACCTAGCCCTCCTCTCTCATACACACGACCGAATGCAGATGAAGACAGCAAATGTAGCAGCAGCTTCTGCATCGATAGGCCTCCACATTCACAAAAGAAAAAGCAAGGTTCTCAAATGCAACACGGAGAACACCAACCCAATCACACTTGATGGCGAAACTCTGGAAGAGGTGGAAACATTCAAGTACCTGGGGAGCATCGTTGATAAACAAGGGGGATCGGATGCATATGTAAAGGCGAGGATTGGCAAAGCAAGGGCAGCATTTCTACAATTGAAGAACATATGGAACTCAAAACAACTCTCAACCAATTTGAAGGTCAGAATCTTTAATACGAACGTCAAGACAGTCCTACTGCGTGGAGCTAAAACGTGGAGAACTACTACGACCATCATCAGGAAGGTACAAGTATTTATAAACAATTGTCTACGCAAAATACTCAACATCCACTGGTCGGATACTATCAGCAACAGCGTTTTATGGGAGAGGACAAATCAGCTTCCAGCTGAAGAGTAAATTAGGAAAAGACGTTGGAATTGGATCGGACATACATTGAGGAAATCACCAATGTGCATCACGACTCAATCTCTAACTTGGAATCCGGAAGGGAAGCGGAAGAGAGGAAGGCCAAAGAACACACTACGCCGGGAAATAGAAGCCGATATGAAAAGGATGAATAGCAACTGGAAAGAACTGGGAAGGAAGGCTCAGGACAGAGTTGGATGGAGAATGCTGGTGAGCGGCCTATGCTCCTCCACAAGGGGTAACAGGCGTAAGTAAGTAGTAAGTAGTAAGTTTCAACAGTTTCTAGTATGCTAAATTACTAACTCATGCCTGTCTACTCCTTTTCGAACGAATAGGTCATTGTTATCTGTTTGAAATTAGTACCTATGCTATTTCGTATTCTTTTGTTAATTTTAATGGTGACATGTCGTTCTTATGAAAACCTCAAACAGTTAATTTACAGTTAATTTTACTGCAAGAAGAATTAGTTGAATTGCTGTGAGTAAAGATCCCTCTAAATCTACACTAATCATTAATTCAGTTTACTTAATATTATTATTAATCCTTAGAATATGTATATCGATAACGTTTCTATGCAGCTTAAAACGAAGTTCAGAAAATAATTTTATAATGTATATATAGACTATTTCAGGTTCTTAATCATATACATTTACGCTAGAACCGAAGTAATCCTTGTTGGTTAAGTCTCGCTAATTAAATACCATTTAAGTTATTTAGTTTCCTTCAGTCATGAACTCTGATTAGCTCACAATTTCGCAATGATCGTTCAATGTAAATATATTCATGGATTAAATAAAAAATTAATATTATCATCTATAATTTCTCTAAGCTTATTTAATCACTTTTTTATGTCACTTAGTATGGATTGCTGTTTCTTTTTGACCAGGTAAACTATTTGGAAAAGCTTATGACATCCCAGCTCATTTACGTTCTAAAGGATTATTCCCATCAGTATGCTTAAAAAATGCTGAGTTAAGATTTAATTTCGGAGATAGTGCATTTGATTTTCCACCACCAAATGGTTGGATAGGTATCAGTTCTTGTCCGGAAACAAATAGTGTTGAAAATACTTTTCAAGGTAAGTCTTTCACGGTTCATTTTTACTGTCTGTAGTTACTCCATGGTTTTTCACAGGTATTTTGATGTGAAATGCGTGGACCAAATTATTAAAACACGTAAAAAGCAAAACATATTTGACACTGAGATCAAGAAGGATTTTTCTAAAAAGTATAACAAAAGAGCTCAGCTTATTATGGTTATCATATAAAGCTTATTTGCATTACTTTTCTACTGTAGTTTCCACCTAGAATCTTTGTTCACGTTCGTCTGTCGATATTACCCAGTCACGCCATATTAGCTGGAACATTTGTTTTTTGAGGTTACTTTATATAGGCCTGGTCGCTTGGATAGCGGTAGGATCGGCGATAACAAATCCAAGTCCCGAACTAGCAGCGTCAGTAAAGTGTCTCTCATGAATAACAAATGTCTGTCTTCCACATACGAAAAATAACTCAGAAGGGGTCGTTTTTCAAACTACTGACTGTCTTCTTGTCCCCCTACTTGTAGCTCATGAAATTAGGGATGATTTTGCTAGAAAGCTTTTTGATCTCCCGTAGAAAACCAAACTCTTAGAATCAGTAAGTCTAGCGTATGATTCAAACTCTTTAGAAGGTAGATCAACTCAAGCTGAAAGGTACTTCGACTGATCTTTGCTCGTCTTTGTCCAGCTAATAGACAATGGTAATCTCCTTTTGTAACTGTGCTGAACCAACCATTTATTCCTTGTAAGCAATCAGCCTCAAGAATAAAGAAAGGGATAATTCATGTAGAAACTCCCGACACCGACTAAACGATGAATACAAGTAAACTGTTACTATCAGCCGTCTATGAAAAGGTTCGATTAAATAATCTCTCATTCTGGAGTACGTGTTTTTACTTTGATTATCTTGATCTCCAACCTATTTCCAATACGCTAAATTTCGAAAAACAAAAGGAGCCCATTGATTTATTAAAAAAAGAATGAAGACGTTTCAGCAGAAATTTTCTTTTCGACGGTATCATTTTCTAAAGCCGTACAATCGTATTTATGGGTAATTTTTCTAACATGTAATAGTCTATCGTAAAATAGAGGAGTGTCACAAAATTATCAAAAATAGTCAACATTATTCACGTATTGTCAAATTCTCTCAATCTTACTTATTAACATCTTAGTCATCTGCCGAATAAAGGAAGCAGAACTTCTGTTTTAGCTTTCGTTGTTTTGACGTACTTTAAATTTTGGGACTTGTAGTGTAAACTTAATGACCGGCTTTAACATTTATTGGTAAGCTGTACAAATGTACTTAGTATTAAAAATATTCTTTTTATTTTCAGCCACTTCATCTGGCCCAGTCTACAAATCTAAACCAAATGCCCCACTAGCTTTAATTATTGAAGTAAGTTATTTTCAATGTTCGCAGGAAATTTATTTGATCTATTTTAAGGTTTCCCCTGATCGTGACTAACTCATTGGTCCGCATTTCTATGTGAATCAGTGGTTGAATATTTGAACTATTTAGTATATTTTGTTTTGATTTCATTTCTTCCAAATGCACACCTTACTGTTTATACTAAACAGAAAATGAAAGATTTTCCCTTTGTTTTTTAACCATCTCTAGTAATGTCTTTTACCACGTTAGGAGCCAGGTTTTTATAATACTATCCAGAAAATTGCAACGCACTAATAAATGCTAACTCGAGACAACTATCTTCCATACCACTAGGTCACATCGTGAACTGATTATTTCTTCTTCTCTTCCAGTTAATTCCAGTACCGAGAAACAGTCCAAGGTATGGAAATCGCTTAAACGTCTTATGTCAGACATTTCAAAGCCGTTAATTTAGGGGAGCTTCACAAATCAAATAAAGATCGGAGAGAAAACCTGTCTGAATAAATACTTCTCAAGTGTCACTCTTTAGCGGATAAATCTGACGAACAGTCGTATGCAACAGTTTAAAGGTATCTGTCAGAAAATACGACGATCATTTGTATGACATATTGTAACATATCTGACGAAGAGTGGAAACACAATTTACACATCCGTGGTTCGATTAAAATATTACGTAGTCTCAGTCTCACCTATCTATTTTAATCAATTTATCCATTTCTGTGATCAGAATATTGATTCCATTCATGAAAAACATCAAAACTATATTCAAGCTTTATTTATCTAATCATTCTGGAATAGATCGTTACAACAGTGTCATAAATTACTCAGACTTGCATTGACTACTTTTTCCTAATAAAAATTAACTCCATTAACATTTAAGAGGGTCCTCAAGTATATAAACTAGTCCACCATTTCCAATCATTGATTTATCACGCGCTTTTGTAATACAATTCGTATCATATGTATCAGTAATCTATATCATAGTACAAGAAAACACCATTTTTCTCATACTCAAGAGTAATATCATCTTGTTGTTTGCGAATCTATAAAAGCTTCACGGATTTCTCTTCACAATAGTTGTTTGTAGGATACCGTCCACAAACACGTTTGAGAAGAAATCAGTCAGTCAGTCAGCTACAACGTAGGACCAGGCACATATATGCATCAGTCTAAGTTGAGAAGAAATGACAAAGTCGATCAATACACGAGGTTATAGAGGCGCTTGGGAGTAACAAAACCAACTTCATAATTATAGTCTTGCTTTTCCATTTGAAATATTCCTGAATTGTTCAATCTATCCTGTATATGTTTTAATACCTTTCAGAAATTTCTAAATCTATTCACCGTTTAAATTTCAACTGTCCAGTATAATGATCAGTTCTTTTAATTCTTTTTTTCCGGGTTATTTTTGATAGCGGATACAATGTTTGGCGTAAATGACTTACACATGAAATGTTTGAGTATTTTTCTCTACTGGACTTGTTTTTTAAATTACTTTTTATACTATCCCTACAGCCTTCTCGTGAACTAGCAGAACAAACTTATGAACAAATTAAAAAATTTAAACGTTATTTAAAAGATCCATGTCCTCGTGAGTGCTTGTTAATTGGTGGTGCCAACAGTAAACAACAAATGGATGAATTACATTTAGGAGTAAGTTCCTGATCTTTAAAAGTTTGTCACTGATTACTGATAAATATATGCCAAAAAACTATGGATCTATGCATGTAATATTAATTTTATCCTTAGTACGAGTAAACTATCACACATAATTGTACACGGGAGTTATTTTATGTTATCCATGTGAGTTACTCAAAAGTTTCCTGATAAATTTATCTCTAGACAAATCTACATTGTAAAAACTTTATCAAGTTTTTATTTTAGCAACGCTAGTCGACTTTTTTGTTTACTTTTATCCGTTGGAGCTAATCAAGTTAATATACATACTTTCTATCCTGTTTTTATTAGGTTGATATTGTTGTAGCTACTCCTGGGCGTTTGGATGATCTTATTTCAACACAGTCTCTTCTGTTAAGTAACTGTCGTTTTTTTGTCTTGGATGAATGTGATGGTCTTCTCTCTGCTGGTTATGGAGATATGGTTTCTCGAATACACAAACAAATACCTAAGGCTACTGCTGATGGAAATCGTTTGCAAATGATTGTTTGTTCAGCTACTCTTCATTCCATGGATGTTAAACGATTAGCTGTAAGTCAATCTATTTAGTTCCGTGAAGATTGTATTAAACATTGTATATGAACTGTTATGTCGTAGTTTGTGTTCGCCCGTTTTTACAATATTTTACATGAGAATTTTAACTACTCATAAGTAAGAAAAAGAGAATTCAGCGAAGAAAATTTTCTTTTCGACGAAATTTATGTCTACATGAGGCTAGGAAAGATTGCATTATAAATTGATCCGAGAATAAATAACAAATGAGGTTACGTACTAATCAAGGGGTAAGGGAGAAAATAATTTATGTCTCAGATAATAGTCCAATTGACAGATATGACGAAAAGAGAAAAGAAACTTTTCTTTGTTGAATTCTCTTTTTCTTATTCATAAGTAGTTTGAATTCTTTGAGTCATTCTTCGAAATTTCAGCTAACTTGTCCTTTCGGAAATTGCTTTTTTAAAGCTACTTTCAGAGGCTTGGTATTTCATAGTTTCATTTGTAATCTCTGATGCAAAGATTGTAATGATGCTCAACTTCTTTACTCTGGAACAAGAAGCATACATATATCGTGTGGTCGAAAACTAAAATTCCAGAGATTTATGTCAAATTCTGGCTTTATCCCATGGTCTCATCTACCAGCTTTTATCTATCACTTAATTTCACGTGGAAGATAATTTGTGGAACCAGTTGGATACGTACATGCTCATCCCAAGGTTAAACTATATTTAAAACCTTTTCTCTATCCCATTTTAATTAATAGTAACCCAGTTGTTATTGTACATTTATAGCCAAACACATATTTATGTACCTGGTATCCAGTTAAACTTTCTTTGATCCATCCATGTATGTAAATTTAGGAGCCATAACTGCACCACAGCATCTGAAGGTTTAATACTTTAATCACTGAATTATTGTGTCTACTTACTGAAGTCGTAAATAAACTATATAAAAATGACGCAGAATTTTAGACAGTTAAAAGTCTTGAAACAATTTCGACATTTTCCGTACTGAGATTTTTATTATTGACTTACTTAGTATTCGATCTTTTTCCGCGCTAATCAGATTGACTTGTCCTGTCGCGAGTGAAGGAAATTCTTACTTCAATTATTAATTTCTATCCTTTTTTTACTCTATATTTTGTTTGAACTTTAGAATAAATTAATGCATTTTCCAGTATGGATAGATTTAAAAGGTCAAGATAGTGTCCCAGAAACGGTACATCATGTGGTAAGTTTACACTATTTTGTATTTCTTATTTTAAGTAATATTGAATCACTATATAATATTTTAACGATTATTTTGTTTTTTTCAGAGTGTTCAAGTGAATAATTCCAATTGTAACTAATATTTTCATCCCAAAACGAATCACATTGTGTTTTAGTTGTTTTCTAAAATAATCACATTAGGTTGATATATGTTAAAGTTATTTTACGGTATACTGCTAATCAATCATCTCGCAAAACCACTGATAGTACAATTACATCAAGTGAACAGTTGGATATTTTGATAATACAGGCAGTGTTCGTAATTTCCAACTTTATCGACTGATAAGCATAGATAACTCCTCGCTTCAAGTAATCACAATGTTAACTGTCATGTGAAGGATCAATAAATTACTATGTGCACAAACATTTATAATATCATACGGTTAAAAGTCTGTAACTAACAAATCTAACTGATTCACTGAATCATATTATTACTCGCGTGCGTTTATTAGAGGACCATGTAGCAGCATTTATCTGGACTCTGATCATGATCTTGTTTGTACTAATCTTATCTTACGAAGACTTACGTAACGAAATTGTGCAGAGCTTATATGAGGACCGAGAAGCCTGGCGGTCGGAGTGTACTAACGAGTTGGAAGTAGCAGATGCATCTGGTAACTGTTGGAACCGCTTTTAAACTCATCCGAGACACTGGCAGCAAGAAGTTTAGTGCGTATGAAACAATTAGTGAAACTGACGGGAAGCCAAACAATATCACCTACTGACGTCTTACACAATAAGGAATTTTTCGACAACCAGTCCAGCTGGTATGCTGCCCCGGCGACGTCTACCAGACTGTCCTGCCCTCCATGATGACTGATCCACGTAATGAGGTAGAAGTGCTCAAGGAAGTCCAACTCTTGAAGCACCACAAATCATGATGTCCAGATGACTTAGCCTTGACTTTTTTAGAAATAGTGACAACCTTCTGGTTAAAGGATTGACTGAGTTGTTCACAAATGTCTGACAATTAGAGAGTGTAATCGTGTTAGTTTCCGCCATAATTTGTAGATTGTTCGAAACCTAAGGAAGACTGACTTGCGAGGAGCGGACTAGTTTTCATCCTGATCGACAACTGATCATAGCTTCAAATTTTAGGGCACTGTCATACTCATTACTGGCCAATAATCGTAGTATTTCTTGACATTAAGGCCGCCTTCGATTCGTTGGCCAGGACTGTTCTCTGGGATTTCCTATTGAAAAAGGATGGCCCTGAGAAGTTCTTTAATACCTTAAGGCATCTTTATACAAGTACCTCGGGGAGAGTGAGGACATACTGTGGCATGTGATACTTGTGTCGACATTAGTATATAACACCAATCAGGAACAGAATGCTTGGCAGCAGGAGTTTGAGGAGGGCGAAAAGGAAAGAACGGGAACAAAAAGTAATTGGTATGGAAATGAAGGATCAACGAAGTCAGACAATTATTGAACATTTTGCAAATAAAGTATTAGAGTATGGTTTTTCTATTTTACCAAGTAACTGTAATTTTGTGCTAAATATCATCAACTGTCCTCACCTGTGTTCCCTTTCACTGCAATACAACCATCTCTCTCCACTGTTTCATTCAAATAGTGGGGTTAGGTCAATGTTACCCAATCTTACCATTCCCCCTCAACTTTGCCATCTATGACGTTCTGGAAATAGCTCTGATACAATCCGCACTTAATCAATTGACAGTTAGTGTCCGTAGGTATGGCATATGCTTTGCACTTTCCAAGTGCTCATTACTTTTATAAGACTGACAGGACCCTGAATCTGCGCTCACTCTTGGTAGTAAGTAGATGAAAGTAGTCAAGAAGTTCGTGTATCTGGGTGCTGGTGCTGCCGTAAATGATGAAATTAATTCGCTTATAGCGAAGGCCAGAGCGGCGTATTCTAATCTGTGTCATCTTTAGAGTCTTAGTGATGTTAGTCTGGTTGTAAAAGGTCGTATCTACGATGCATTGGTGAGAGCAGTCATGTTCTGTGCTCGTGGAATCTGTCCTCTCAGAGTTGAGGGTGTTGGACTACTCTCTGTGTTTGATCACCGTTGTCTGTAGGATTGCTGAAATCTATTAGCAACACCACTTCAGTAATGCAGAGTTTGGGCAACGGGTGTTTGGATACGGTGATGATAACTCAATTGTTGACACCATCTTGAAACATGGACCTCGGTGACTTGAACATATATTACGAATTTCGTCCTAGCGAATCCCACACTATGCATTGTAGACTCCAGAAGTGGATTGGAAAAGCAGTGAGGTGGTCACTGTATGACATGTGGTTAAAAAGAAAATTTTACAGGATTGGCATTTGTGGGTATTTCATGACTGCTTTGCTGGAGTCTTAGAGAGTACTACAAATTCGCCGGAGACGTCAGGCGCGGCTCAGAATAGAAGCACATATCGGTCTTGCCGCAACTTTCTTTCACTTTCTTCATATAAGTGATAGTATTATTTAACTGAAAGAGTTCTCTCTGGTTCTATTTTTCTTAACTAGACTTCCACACTATTATTATTATTTCACTCTCACACTAATTTCGATGCATTGTTTTTGTTCTTGTTCATTATGCTCACTTTACTTTCTCTAACTCTCCATGACCTCAATTTCATTGTGTGGCGCAAATATATTTTAGTGCCTGCTTGTATCGATATTTATATGTTCAAATAAATAAATAATTACTCTTCAAAATTTAATTACATGTCACAGATAGCTGGGAAAAGACCAGTTTTATTTGTCATTCGCACACCAGTTGACTAAGTCATTCCTCGCCATTTCATTAACCTGGGGAATCCCGGTTAAATAAATACTCAAATACGAAATTGTGAGCGAAATTATATAATGAACTAGTTTTTAATTATTGTAAACTATTTTCAGAAATCGAATCATCTCCCAACAATATGATAAAATGCCAAACCTGAAGGTAACATCATGAAATCTCCCATTTCGGAATAATTGTTCATTTTTATGTACTTACATAAAAGGTCGCTGTCTCATTGTATAAAACAATGAAAAGTATACAAGAAAAAAATCGCCGAACATTATCAAAGAAATAAGAAATACACATAAATAACAAATTTTAGCCAGTCACTCATCACCGACGTGGGGCCTGTGATAACTGTACTTCGGCTCAGCTTACGTTTCAGAAGATATTATATTGTATTTAAGGTGATGGTGATTGAAGATAGTTGACAGGAAATCATGGACCTAGTTTTCGTGTTGTTTGGGAATATTCAACTGATGCCCCCTGGCAGATTTGCTCCCGTGTCACTTAGCTTCACAGTCAGAGATGTTGCTACTGAGCTATTCGTCTATTGTAGGACTGGTGAGTGTCGAAAATTACTAATTCTATGTCTATGGTTTCCTGTAGACTACCTCCAAACACCTCCACTTTATAACTAACCCAACACAGTCCACGACATATCAAATCACTTTGACTATTAGCCACATTGCAACTTGTTCGATAGAATTTATCCAACACTAAAAAGGACTTGACATATATGACATTGGTCACGACTCAGTAATCGATTAATTGTGCATAGTATATTGTATGTTTTAAATAAGATATTAAATACCATAAACAAAGGTGACCAAGTAAAGAATTAGTAGTATAGTTTAGTTTTCTGTATACAGATTTGATTTATATTAATCATTTCTTATGTATCTATAGCTGTTTCGAAACGACGTATTCATATAGTTCACTTTTTTTAATATTAGTTTTCTATTCTGCATAGTCACTTGCAATTATGTAATATTCCAGGTTTTTATTGTTTCTCTTCAAGTGAATTACTCGTAAAGGTAAAAAAGATTAGTTATTCTTACAATTGTTTTCACTTGGAAAAAAATCACTCAGTACGTAGTAAAACTGTCGACAAGCTATCAAACTTTATTTCCATAACGTATAACAAAAGCTTTATCATCGTTCTGTTATAACGGAATCAGACTACGGGCACTGAAATATAACAATACATAATTTTCATTTTTAATATCATCCCTAAATTCACCACCCATTAATTATAAAACTCCATTAAAATCGTGAACCGATTTAAGTTAGCCCACCATTGAAAACCTAAAAACAGTAAGCTGCTGTTTCGTCATAGTGTGGGACTCCTCATCGATAACTCTACGCTCGGAAATTGAACTCGGGACTTTGGGTCCCGCGCTTGAAGGCTCAACCTTTTGACTACTGAGGCCGGCATCTGTTCATTCAAATTTCGCAATGTGCTTTCATCAACAGTCACATACTTCCCTATTATTTGTTTATACTATGTACTATGTTTCTAAAATAATATTGTGATATCGTTAGAATTTCATTTATTATGTCAATCAAACTGAATACGCCATAAAATAACATCAGGTCACCTATTTTTATTCTTTTTTCATATATTAACCTTTATCTTGTCAGTCTCATACAGCCGAATAAAAGTTTGTCAGACGTACTCATCATCATGAATAACAACAGTCTATTCACTAGTACAATATCATTTGAACAATTTTTTGGTCAGAAATAGTTAGATGTAATAAATTATTCATGGTGAATGGTCGATATTCAACGATGAATAAACTTGAGTTTCATCTCACAATTTATATCGAATATTCGGTTCTTTGGGTTAGGTGTATATATATTACATACGCAAACATTAATTTGTATTCAAACTTCAAATTTACACAATTCATTAAAATATTCTTCATGTGTATGCAATAAATAAAGCGTATGTCTATTCAAATATTATTGTAGATTCTTGGTTAATTCATGAGATTACCTAAACAACTTATATTTTTTCTTATTCAATAACATTCTTTAATAAAGTAACATTTTATTTCATCTTAGATAAATGTTAATTCTTTACATTCAGGTGTGCCTTATTGATCCCAACAATGATACATCATGGAAAGAATTAATGAAATCAAATAAACATATACAAACAGATGGGGTTCACATGAAAGATCAACTTAATCCTAATTCGAGTACACCAGGTGAATATTTTGTAAAAAGAAGCAGTTTGTATGCTTTTTGTTTCTCTTATTTAAAAAAAGACAGTAAGCCAAATAATAACCTTTTACCAGTTAAATTAACTGTACAATGAGGGATAGACAAGTTGGTTTAATGGGTTAAAGATTCATAATTAAAAATCAAATTTTTTAATCACTAAATCATTACTTTTCATCAGTAACAATTGTAATCTTTTCTAGCTCATGATATACCGATGATGTAATCAATTAGCATATCATGTTTAAGGTAAAACACAAATAATTTTATCCATAGCAGTTTTGTAGATGAAACTGCACTCAGTCATGCTACCCATATAGTACATATCTTCATGTATATCTGTTTTGAATTTGTTTTGTCAACTTTTTAATATTTGCAACTAAAGTAAAATATTATTCATATTGATTATGTTTTCTTGATTTAGAGGTTTTGTCAGAAGCTGTAAAATTACTAAAAGGTGAGTATGTCATTCGTGCGATTAAACAGCAAAATATGGATCGTGCACTTATTTTCTGTCGTACAAAATTGGACTGTGATAATCTGGAACAGTATTTCATATCAATGGGTGGTGGTAAGTTAGTTAAATACCTTTATTTTTTTCAAAAACGTTAAGCTGTTGTGTTCGATTTGCTAATTGATTTTAACGAAATGAAATACTCAGTGCTAAAATGTTACACAAAAATTACTTATCATCCCACACTGTTAAAGAATTTCAATTGCTTGCTCTTAGTCAGTAGTCGGAGTCAATCAGTAGATTGTTTTTGACTTGTGTGTTTAATGCCAGTTGGCGCTTGTTAGTACGGCGTATCCTCAATCTCAATGTAACTGATGTACTCTGTCGGATTCAAACATACATGCAGTGTCACATTTAAAGACGTTACCACAAAGCTATTTGGGTTGTGATTGTCCTCTTTTGGTAAGTTACGAATTTTGATCACTTGACTAAAAAAACCACATCACAGTGTACTTTGATGTTACGTGACAGACGAAAATTGTTATTAGTGTGTTATTAAGATATTTCCCGAATTTATGTCCATTCTATTATCATCCAATAGTAAATATTTGTTATAACACTATCAACGTTTGACTGGATAGTTTCAAATAAATTGAGTATTAGGTTGATTATTTATCATAATGAAATGATATGTTTGCAATATCTCAATTGGTAGAAACTTGGTTTTTTTGCTCATTATTTTCATTATTAAATATTCATAATAATAAAATATAATTAACCTATCTATCTGTGCATACTTAGTAATAAATGTATCTTCCTTATTCATTATCCATTCCAATTCGTATGTATACAGACTATGCACAACTTATCCTCGCTAGTTATCTTTTCTCTTCATGAAAAATCATGTAATATTTTATTCATTAGAATTTTCAATCAGCTTACGTAATCTTAATTGAAATGGATTAAAAATAAATTATTTATCTTGTCTGATATCTAGTTTAATGATCTGTGAATTTGAATACTCTAAATAATCGTTATTCATTTCTGCATGATTACAATGTTATAATTCACAAACTACTTCTTATCGAAACTTTCAATTTACCTAAGTTAGTTAAATTAGTTAACATTGAGTAGTGATTACATTTTGGATGTGAAATTCTTTTGGTATATATATATATATATATATATATATATATATATATATATATATATATGCTAATCGGCTCGGAATATCTAGAAAAAAGTCCATCATCCAGCCTTTCTTTACTTACGGAAGTAAAATATAAATAAATCTCGAAAAGGAATGGCATATCAAATAGCTTTAAACTTCTGATCGGTGTGCAAGAGTTTATTATTATCCTTAAATGGTACACTGATTCTCTAAGAAAATCTTAATAATACTCCACTTCAACTAAAATGTGAAAACTTTGGACTAGTGAGATACGTGTGAAATACCTTATTCAATAATATGATGCAATTCAGTGATTACATATAATTTGAGAGAAATTTGTCATGTGAAGTACTAGGAATAATAACCAGGATTGTTCAAATCACATCTGTATTTAGACATACGACGATAATTAATCGAAAAATAATGTAACAACAAGGTTCTCTAAAGGAATTTGAAAGTATATATATTCACTTCTCGTTTATCTCTTCCTTATGGTTCATTATTCGCCACTATTTTGAGGTATATCGAGTTTATTTTCGATTAGGGTCGTCGTGTTTTGGAGTTAATACATCTTCACTTACATCAGTCTTGGTGTTCTTACTCTGCGTCGTGGGAATTGAAGTGGTTCCTTGTTTTACAAGTATACGTAATAAGTAATTCCGACACAAAAATTAGCAACGACCAGTCGTAACATAAAGCATACATTAAGAATGGTAATCAAGAATTTCGAATAGAATAGATCTTGCATGGTAATGGAATCAAAAGAAAAAGAGAGATAGAATTATTTTTCTAAATCTTATCTAAAAGTTATGACGAATTAAAAAAGTTCTTAAAATCTCCTTTTTGTTTATCACATTTGGATAACTAAAGATTCTGGAATGTAAAATGAGTTTAGACCCGTAAAACCGAAGTAACAATTGGAAAGTGAATTTCCTTTATCAGCTACATATTACAGAATAGAGAAAGTTATTGAACATCTACACTGTCTTTTATTCAAGTTTTTCTAAGAGATAGTTGGAGAAATGACCTACCTATCCACCTCCATCTAAAGGCATAATAGAAGTTGAATGTGGTAGAGGTTTAGGCATTCAGTTACAAGCAGTGTAAAACATGGTACCGATGCATAAAATTTTCAAAACTATTGTAGTTAAACTGAAAATAATATCTGTGACAGCAGGAAAGATTGGGTATCGACATTAAAATTTAATAAGGAAGAGTGAATTCTGAAAATAGTAAGCATAAAAAATTTTAAAATTCACGGTGTAAAGGAAGGCCAGTAGAGAATGCATCTTCGCGATTGTAACCGATTTTGAACCATGTCACCCAATGTCTCCAAACATCGATCACAGCAATCTCTAAGACCCCGAGCAGGTAGTCTGCACCTACGAAAATGAACCATATCAGCAGTCAGTGACTTCTTAGGTTGATGCTGTTTCTTGGTTCGGCTGCCTCTAGTTTCCTTTCACGATGAGTGCATAGAAACATATCAACTGGAACATCTTTTAAGTTGAGTCCCAGACGATTCCCAAATATATTGTTAGCAATATCTTTCTTAAATTTATTTTCCATGGATGGTATTTCCTTCTGATGGATTAATTTGGTCACTGAAGGTTGTTCATTCTTTATATTGTTTCTCAATAAAGTGTAGTAGGCATCCATTTTCTTAAACTATTTTCAACAAAGCTAACTAAAAAAGTACATGCATCGAAAAAATCTTCATTTTATGTGATAAGTTTACTTGTCTCTTTGACTTTTCACATTAAGTAACTAATTGTTATCTATTGATAATTTTTATACACCTAGGACCTAATCGTCGTGATTCACCATTTAGTTGCGTTTGTCTTCATAGTGATCGAGCTCCTCCGGAACGTAAAGCAAATTTGCAAAAGTTCAAGGTATTAGTCACTATTTATTTCAACTTGGAAATTGTTGTTAATTACTTAATGCGTTTTCTCGGTAATCAAGAGTATCTGTTAAATGATTTTTTCTTTTTTTCCAGAATGGAGAGGTTCACTTTCTTATATGTACAGATGTTGCTGCACGTGGTATCGATATTACTGGTCTCCCATATGGTAAGAGGATGGATAAATCATATTCATTTTCAAAACTGTTTGTTTTTGTCAATGCTGCCGTCTCATATTTGGAAGAATAGTAATTTGGTTAATAATGTAATCTGACAACGGATCATAATATCCCTTGGTCTGTTGATGATGAGGAATAACAGACAATATCCCTTACTTTTTATTACTGATTGAATTATGTTACTCACTTATCTCTTATATCACAGGTAGCTACCTATCACGAATTGATTGAATCGACAAATATCGACCGTTGAATACCGGCTCAGTGGTGTATAGATTAAGAGCTTGCAGCAAGGACTAATGGTCGTAGGTTTGACCCTCGATGGGTCGTAGATTTGTACTGTTAACGAGTCCCCTACCTGAACAAAAACTTATCCAGTACTTTCTAACTTTTAATGGTTTCCTAACTAAAATCAATCTATGACGTAATGTATCTGCATCAACAAGTCGATTATTACTGATCCACAATATTATCTAAAAGGCCTTTGTTTTTTCTCTTTTGACAAAGTTAGTTGATCTTTAGGAGAATAAGGGAACGTATTCTGATAACTTCAAAGAAATTATATCCCGTTACAAGGAAACTGCTATTTGTTATAAAATTCAAACAAGATGGTTTTGTTTTGTATTACGTGTGTTCAAAACTCAGTATTTTGATGAATTTCGACTTGTATTTCCATTGTGAGCTAGTTTTAAGCATTTGTCACTCTATTTTGTACTAGCGGTTGCCATAATTTTTCCCCACTTATTTTTCTATTTTTGTAGTAATTAATGTGACATTGCCAGATGAAAAACAAAATTACGTGCATAGAATCGGTCGCGTAGGTCGTGCTGAAAGGTAAAAAGATAAATGATTTCTTCTCCAATAGTTATTTGTTGGTCGTTTTTTTCTAAAGGTCGTATCATTTTATGGTGTTTCGAAAAAAAGTGACTCATCTTGTATAGAGTTTCTTTTATTGTAATGCTTCTTTATCATTGGATTGTGTATGAATACGATGATTGGATCGAATAATTTTCGCTTCACGATTTGTATTCATCGTGTTAACGATAAACCATTTTAGTGCATTATTTTATACATTCTCACTAAGGGGATCATCAACTGTTTAAGAAAATAGACGTCTTTATTGGAAATATGTAGCACCAATGTACAGATTGATGGTGTACCATGTTTGATAGTCACACTTTTTTACATTCTAATTTATGAAAATGCTGATTATACAAAAATAAGTGATGTGAAAATGTAAACTTTAAAATTAATAATTAACTTTTGTAATGACGTGAACAGCAACTCTGTTTGATGATGGTATGTTACAAATATTGCTAGTTTTTGAATTATTCACTTCGTTATTTACTCAGCATAAATTATTGGAATATTTTAACAATAAACTAACTTGAGTATTAAATTGATTATTTAAGATATACCAGAAATTCTCATATTGTGAATTAAGACAACATATATAAACGAACAATATTGTTTTTAATTAGATCCTCATCAAGCTTTACTCTAATATACAAAAAATATTTATTTGAAATTATTAGGCTAATCAAGTCAATGAGTCGGGGATAATGGTGGAATAGGTTACGTGAAGAAACATAATGATTAAAAAGTACAAATTGTTATTGTGATGATAGGTGTAGTAGTATTAGTTGTTGTGATAGGAATTATACAGTATTGGGTTAATTTTTCATGATAGTTGATCAAAAATCTTGTAGAAAATAGACAATGAAATAACGTCCATTCAACATTTTAAAATTGCATAATAAGAAATGTTCAGATAGTTAAACAGAAGCCTATATTTTTTAAAAAGGATGATAAAAAATAACCGAACAAAGATATGGAAAAAAATGGTAACATCGTTTGTTAGCGTTGATTCACCTAAGTAAGTGATAAGCATGTTACAAATCTCTTGTATATGCAGAGACTTGAGTTGTTTTCTCGCATCCCTAAAGCTTTCGCTATATATAAGAGACGAGATCGAACCCCATAAGGAAAGGTAGTAGGTATGCGATTAATTACCCAAGATGGTTTATTTATATCTACTACATGACTGCTATCGAACTGTTGTAACAAAGAAATTGTGTATATTTGTGGTCGTACTCTTTCCTAATCATTGCTTCAGTCATTCTATCTCGCAGTACATCACTAGCCATATTTCCGTTAAATTAAAGCTTCATAAAGAAAGGTTTCTTCTTAATTGCCGTCGTTTGTTTTCCTCGCCCTTTTTAATATATAAGCCTCACTGTCTATCTGAACATTTCTTATTACGCAATTTTAATGGATGTTATTTCATTGTCTATTTTCTACAAGATTTTTGATCAACTTTCTATCATGATTAATTAACCCAATACTGTATAATCCCTATCACAATTACTACTACACTTGTCATCACAGTAACACTTTTTGTATATTAGAGTAAAGCTTGATGAGAATCTAATTAAAAACAATATTGTTCGCTTATATATTTTATTTAGGACATGATTCTTATCACTTACTTGATCTACATTTTTCTACTGTTTCTTATACTAAACATGTAGAGCGTTGATTTGATAATTAAACCAGTGATTGCATCAACTGTAAAGTTATAAAAAATGTGAATCTCACTTCACTTCCTAAAGGTTGATTTGTCTACTATTATTATCATTATTATTGTTATCAACCTATTGATTGAGTAGAATCATATATTTACCCTTTCCAGTTTGATTTCATCTTTTAGTATTCAACATTACTTCATGTTAGATGATGGCATAAAATTAAAGCAACTGTTTCATCGATTTTCCTTCAACATTTTTGTCAAATCTTTCCATTTTGTGATTCAGAAACTACATAACTTGTCTTTTAAGGAGAATTCGTAAACATATATATATATATATATATATATATATATATATATAATTACATTGTATACTTCAAAATCAGTTTTTGAATTCCTTACGAATTATATTAATGCCTGAACAGTTGACTAATACTAATCATCCATTCAGTAGAGTTTAAGATGACATTAACATAGTTCTGTCAACTATTAAATGTTACCCAAAGTATCATCTACGTAATGTATACTATATGATATTATAATTTATTCAGTTGATTTGCGTTTGTTCCATGTTGATGCTTTTGTTAAAAGCATTGAATATATTTTATTAGTGTTTTTAAACATACTAACTCAAATAAATGGTTATGAAAAATATTAATGTTTCCTGTTTATGTGTTAATCTATATGCCTTATTGTTTCATCTAATTAAAATATACAGTCCATTTAAGTAATGACTTTTTATGTAACCAAGGTTTCATACACAGGAAATGCCTTACTGATTTTTTCTCTTCACTGTTCATATACTTTTGTTGGTGTATATTTTAATAGTTACAAGTGTGTGCTCTCCATAGATAACAAATTGTGTTCTATAGTAATATTTTTCTTTGAAATCTGTGCTTGTTCGTAGTATTAATTTTTAAACCCTTTTTTGTGTAACATTGAAATCGGTTATGTTACGCAACACGTTTAAAATAAAAATTAGTGCGAAAGAGGATCAAAAACAAAACTTTATTATTTCTAAAAAAGTTATTTTATTTAAGAATACGCTTTAATACATTGATTTTTTTATGCACGTCGAGCTAATTACAAATCAATAACTGTTCCCAATACAATTAATAGTTCACTCTTGATATTTTAGTCCCGATAAGCAGGTTTATTTTATTGATACGGGAAATATTTACTATTCATTATGTTGCTTCAGTTTGGGCACCTGGGCAGTATCATAGCCCTCACACAAATCAAATGAGATTTGTGCGGCGCATATATATCTGGTGCCCCTTTGTACCAATATTTATGTGTTTAAATGAATAAATGATCTTTTAGAATAATGGAGCATTGTTCCGTTTTGTCTCTAAAAATGAACCTGTTATCCATCATTACAACATTGCAAATATTATTTATTTGTGATTTTTAATGTGAAAACTTCTGTTCAAACGTTTTGTCAAGAAAATTGATGATTATTATCCTCAATTACCTCTTCTACTCAACCTTTATTGTTTTGTAGAATGGGTCTGGCAATCAGTTTAGTGTCAACTGTCAAAGAAAAAGTAAGCACAGTAATCTGTTGATCTTTTTTACTCATTCAATTGTACATCTTAAGCTATAGTAAAGAATTTTCTGCACAAAATATACAGTATTTATATAAACTCCACGTCAGTAGTGTCCAATTAGAAAAATTTATTCAGATATATTCCAATAGTATTTAATTAATGTTCATCTTATACTGTAGTAATTTTTCACTGTTTGATAAATTTCCTTCTGTATCCCATAGTGTTTAGCATCGTATTAGGTTTTGGGCTTTTGACGAAAATGTGCGTGAACATGCATCTAGCCATTTGTATACACATTATCACCTCATCAAAATAGACCACACTATCTTGGGTTTTTTTCAACCCATTTTTAACGAGCCTATCAACTATTAACTATACCCAAGTAGTAATTATAAACAGTTCAATAAAATAAAACCATAGATTTTACTACATAAGGTTACGTGATATGCCGATTGTATGTCACAGTGAATATATTTCTGTCATTTTATTACTAATGAAGAAATATGAAAAGTAGTTGAGGAATTTTAATTTTATTAGCAGTTGTTTTCTACTATTATTCTTGGATGAAATAGTCACCTAAACTTTAATCCAGATATACTTTTCTGTACCAAATATACAAACTAAATATTTTCCAACAGTCAACAAGAGGTTCAGGGCCTACATTGCGATCTTTCCACCATTCATCAACTAATTCGATTCAACCACTCCTAGTTTAATCTATTGTAATGACATCAGTGGTCAGTGTTATCAATCTTCCTTAACTATGTTTTGAATTGAATAAACATGTATATTTATTTAAGAAATGTGCCCTATCAACGCGCAAAACAGTGTACTTTGATTTCTTGATAAATCTCTTTACTAAAGGTATGGTATCACTCTAATTGCTCTACACGTGGTCGTGGCTGTTATAATACTCGTTTGTTAGATCAAGGCGGTTGTTGTATTTGGTATAACGAGCCCAATTTATTAAACGAAATTGAAGAACATTTAGGTGTGACTATCGACACAGTGGACAAAAATTTAACTATACCTGTAGATGCATTTGATGGAAAAGTTGTATATGGTCAGAAATTGAAAAAAAGTAAGCTTTGTTTGCAAAAAATATTTATAGTATTGATGTTCCTAGTTAATATTATTCGTATTTTGAACTACTGTAACCTGTTTAATGAATTGGAGACGATTTTTAGCCATCATTTGTAATACAAATTTTATCTACATTGATTGAATCAGCCAATAAGAAACTAACTAACTAGGTTTACGCTTACTAATCAATGTAGACATACCCGACTGAAAAATCTGCTGTTCAGTGAATTAAATTGATAAACCGATTTACTGATATTTTTGTTGTTGAAGTTATTTGATGATCGACCCTGTTAGAACAAGTTTATCAGTCAAGAATTTACAAAATATATACTTTTTTGCGAATTGTTGTATTATACAATATTGTTAAAACGTGGGTAAACAATTGAGCAAAAACATTATATAGGAAATTACCAATCATTAATTATTACCTTGTTAGAGTTAGGTAAAAAGCTCATAACTCATTAGTTCGAACGAATTAGAAAAACACACTCCTACCGACCGTTTATTGAAGACATCATTCTTTCAACTTACCCTCGACATCCAATACTTTAATTGATATATTGTCCCATTAGCTTACTTTTCAGCCTAAAATAAACTTTTCAAGTTATTCTTTTAAAAAGCATTTTCAAAATGAAACATGCTATCTTGATCGTGTGACTAATAAAATTTGCGATAATGTCGTCTTTGAATGAAATAAAAAGGATTATATTTTCTAAATACTTCAGCTCTTCATAAATTTATATATATGATTTCATGTTGATTCCCTAAAAGCACACTGTCATGTTATCTTTTTAAAGTTTCCAAAAGTTGATTTTTGTGAAAAGATTATTTTTACTATTAATTAAAATCATCTGTAAAAGTTCCCAAAACTAGACAGATCGGGTTACCTGTTTTTGGTATTGTTTTGGAACTCCGTAATATCATACCTCCTCAAGTTCACCAGGAATCAAATCAAGTACTTGTAAAACTTACTAAAATCATAATATAATTCAGCCATTGAACCTAGATTCAATATTATGTTGAATTAAAAGTTATCCAAATCCTCCGTGATCTCTAGTTGTTTCCAAGCTGCTATGAAAACCGTCTTAGAGTTTTACCAAGTCTCCACAATCACCTGGATTATTAAATCGACAAACTCCAGCTAACACGAAACCTATGTGCAGAGTTTCTTACCAGCTACCTTCAACAACCACTTGACATCTCAATATAGTGATGCAATGTGAAGTTACTCATATTAGTTGTCAATTTCCAAATTGATCGATAGAGTCAAGTCAAAATTAAAGGAAAATAAGTAAAGATAGCACTGGTCACTTACTAGTCAGTGTTCAGCCAACTGTACATAGATAATTTATTAAACACTCATTATTTATTTATAAAAATGTTTACCCAAAATTATTAATCCCTAATGGATAAAATATAGACAATAATCCTCAATATAGCGTCGTGGAGGTCAAGCGTTCTCGCAAGACTGAATATTCTAGATTCGAACCCCGCGTTCGAGATCGTGGATGCGTACTCCCCATACTAGGATAAAGCGGCCGTCCAGTGCTTCCAGTTTCTTATTAGTGGCCTAAAATTGATCGTTTCATGCTTTCAATGAAGCAATACTTCAAACTGTATCGATTATATTCTTTGCTAAGTATAACAGAAAACTTTCCACATTACAATCATCATCTATCCTAACCAATTTTCCCTTTTGCATTTTCTTCAAAGGACCCACACTTTTTGTTCATTTACTAAGTTTTCTTCACCTATCTCTTCATCAAAATTTACGTTTGTTTCTTTTTCGTTTGTTTTTATCTCATACAGTGGCGCCTAAATATCAAAGTCATGTGAATATTTTGGCATCCTCCGTTAAAGAACTGGATAATCTTGAAAAGAGATCACAACAAGACTTTTTGCGTTTACGATACGACGAAGAATTAGCCATATGAAATTATATGAAGTTGATTTCTCATTAATTGAGTTATTGTTACTGTTTTTTTCTTTATTTTACTGAGTTTGTTTATTTCTCCTTGATAATAACACTAATGATCGTTATTATTATTCACTTGTAAATTTGCCAACAAATGAATTAGTGTAAATGGTCTTTTGATATTATACTCAAGTATGCTGGTTGATTAATATGATATTTTGAATTAACATTTACGCTGTAATAGGTTTTGGGTGATTATCGGTGTATGTTTATCACTTATTGCGCTAGCTCGTAATTTAAAATATAAATTTTGATGTGTGTTTTGAGAATAATCTAAATAAACAGTTGTTTATTGAATTACTTGTGTATTTCAGGCAATTTTCCGACCCGTGAATTTATCGCTTTCTTAACTGAATTTTACTTGAGAAGTAATACTGTTATCCACAGATGGATATCTCATTTGTATAGCTGGTTAATTGTAACTTCCAGTTTACTAGTTTTTTTTTTGTATTTAGACAAGTTAGATTGTTCTTTTGAATATTAATATATGAAAACAAACTCCCAGTACTTTGATACAACAGATGCTGATTTCCATGTACAAATCCACAATTTATTACGAATAAGATATATACTACGGTATATTATAATTCATTCAAAATCATATTAGTACAGCTGGCTACCTATTTGACGCATGTTGTAAGATGACTTCCTTTTCCCAAATAGTATATCGGCATATAAATGAACATAATACGAATTTTAAGTGCGGAGCCGTCTACGTACACACCTTATGTCAAATCGGCCGGCAGGCCTCCTTGGATAAGGCCCTAGAATCTCGTATGATTGATGTATGTTGTGTCTCCGAAACACGCATACAAGATCCTAGTGTGGTCATTTACTTGATCTCACCTCGCTAAAATGGAAAGCCGACAAGATACACCCTCCATCTATCTGGCGACCCGATGGCTAGTCGCTGTAAACTGGTGGGTGTAGGTATAGCACTGAGTACGGGGGCAGAACAGCACTATTAGAGCGGATCTCTGCTAACAGTCGCCTATGCGCTGTTCGGCCAAACGGCTCCGTAAGAACTCGGAAGGATAGGAACACACTTCGTTGTTTCTGCCTACACCCACTGATTGCAGCCTGGATGAAGTGGAAGATGAATTTCATAGAAAGCTCTCTGAACTTCTTCAAAAAGCTAAACGCTCAGACATAACACTTATGGCAATTGAATTTGATTCCCAATTAGGTAGTTTAAACCAAACAGAAAGACATTTAGGTAGGTATTTTGGTATTCCGGCTCAGCGAACAGACAGTAGTGAACGTCCACTGCAACTGTGTTCAGACAATTTTTATTTTAGGCATGAGGAGAGATATCGTCTAACATGGCGGCCACCTGCACCAAACCAACGATGGACTCAAATAGACCATATTGCTATCAGTCATCGTTGGAGAGGCTCAATAGAAGGCAACCACTCGTTCTGGAATACATGTTTAGACTTATGACATGCTCTAATACGAGCACGCATTTGCTTGCGCCTCACTGGACTTAGAAAAACCACACTAAGGAGACCCATTGGAATTGATCTGAGTGACGAGAAAGCCAAAAATAGATTGTAGGAAAAACTGAGGTCTCACCTAGGCACTTCTGAAGATGAGGCTGACCCAGATTTTGCTTGGAAAGATATACAAACAGCTGTGGAAATAGAAGCAACATCTACTAGTGAATTGAACCAAAGGGTTAAGAAAAACCAGTGGATTTCTACCAAGTCTATTGCACTGATAGATTCTCGTAAACTCATCCTATCTGGTTCTGAACACGATAAAGAGCTTAAAGAAATCAGAACTAGGTCAACCCAAAGTCTAAGGAACGATCGTGAGCAGTGGTGGGCAACGAAAGCAAAAGAGATGGAAAAGGCAGCGGCTATATGTAACGCAAGACAGCTTTTCAGAATAATAAAAGAGACTGGAATTAAGAAGTCAATTGCAAGTCAGACAATCTCGGAAAGCGACGAAACTCTTACCTGCGTTTCTCCCCCTCTAAATGCAAATTGATACTTCAGGACTGGCCTGCATTAACAACTGAACTAAGGATAGGGAGTGAAGTAGTTGAGCGCGTCGACAACTTCACTTATCTTGGAAGTCTGATTAACACCAATGGGTTTGTGCCTGACGAAATCTCAGCACGGATTCAAAAAGTTCGTTTGGCTTTTGCCAACTTACGTGACCTACGACGCAGGCTAGATATCCGTCTATCAATTAAGGGATGAGTATACTGAGCAGCAGTTCGTTCTGTTTTGTTTTACGGCTGTGAAACATGGCCATTAAGAGTAGAAGTTACTTGTATGTCACTAATGTTTGATCACAGATGTCTTAGATGGATTGCTTGTGTGGGTTGGTATCACCAGGTAAATAATAGTGAGGTTGGACGCAGGGTATTAGGGAATGATGGTATATCAGTTGATGAGGTTGTGAATCTTCATCGACTGAGATGGTTGGGATACGTGTTACGTATATCTGAACACCGATTACCACGACGCGCAATGCTGACTAGTGTTGGGGATGGTTGGAAGGAAGGAGCGGCCAAACCAAAACGTGGCATCGGTGCTTGAAGTCACTAACATTTGGTCTGAGCCATGTTGGTAGACGCAGACTATTCGGTTGGGGTCCGCGTGACTATCGAAACCAATGGTTGGAGACTCTAGGTGACATGGCTCAGAATCGATCACAATGGCGCAGGTGTATACACTCTTTATCTTCCCTTAAACCGTGAGAATAAAATTACTTTATACCTCTGTTTCTACGAAGTAATTTTTTTTTCCTTTAATGCATCCGAATGCTCAATCTTTCTTTTATATATGACTACCATTAAGGTAACTACTATGAATTTGGTGTTCATCTTGCTGTGCTAATGAGGTATGGTAACTTGTACCCATGCATTTATGTGCCTTGTCCTACGTTGTAGCTGACTAACTAACCACTTTGTAAAGTATTTACTGTTTTGTGGTTTTATTATTTTGTTTTACTTTGGAGCTCGCTAGTGTAAAACTCTTATCGGTCTCTGTCAATTGAAGTCGTTGAATAGTCACTCTTTGCATACTATTCTCGAATGAAATAGCTGACACATTTTTTGAAACTATCTTCTTCACTTCCAATGATTTACCTTAGTATACATCAGTTAACTATCGGTTCAAGGTAATACTCTTTAATGCATTCTATTTCGCTAGTGACTTAGAATTTTAAATCGTTGTTGGGCCTGACAACAGGGCAGCTAACAACCTAGAAAATGTCATAAATTAAACCATCCTTCAGTGAGTTAATCATGTTCTATCTTCCTTCTACATCTGCCTTTAACCGTTCACTAATTTCTTGGCGAGCATTATAGATACTAACGGTATCTGAATTCCCGAGTAAAATGTTTCATTAATCAATAGTTTAGCAGCAGCCCCTTTCATAATATTCTTTGTATTTTGCTGCCCACCTACCTAGTGAAGCGGAAAATAAACAGTAACTCGAGGTTTGAAGAAGTTTCAAGGCACCAGCTTCAGATAACTATTTTCTGTGCCAAAAACAAATAACTCTAACTTTATGATGACTAAAATTTTCAGTTATAGCTATCAAAGCGGTGTAGTTAGAATAAATTGTGATTATAAATATTTTATGTTTTACGAGAAGATTAGTGAGTTCGATTAATATAAAACCGTACACCGAAATTTTGAATCTTTAACAATAGTTTGGTTTTATCAAAAATATTAGTGACTACAATTGTCTCAACAGGCTTAAATTAAACTGCTATTTTGAACATCCTTAGTATTCTGTTAAAAACAGAATATCTCATTCTCTTATAGGGCTTCGGAATGACTGTTTTGGAATATTATTGAAATTCCAAGAATCAGTTCTACAAATCTATATTGTTTCCGATTTGTTAAACTTCTCATTTTGGTCACTGGGGGATTTCTAACAGGATAAAGTAGTCACCCACTATCGTACGGAGGCTATTCAATCTACTTCAACTCGCTACCCACACTAATGATGCTCAAGATCTACACTTTCAATCAAATCTCAAACACTCTTTTCAGTCCTATTCCTAATCAACATTGTAAACAGGATCACTGTGTCAAAAATATAGATTTGAACTGTTTCATATTAATTAAAAATGTTTCATTTTCATTAGGAGCATCAGTTATGCCAAGTGTGTTCATACACCTCATTAATATCTGTCGAATAGATTCCAAAAGTCTTTCGACTTCCTCTTAACCTTCTAACATTGTTCATCATAGTGTAAATTGACCATATTACAACTTGATTTGTGCGATCTGACCATAACTAAAGACTAGATAGTATAACATTGTTCATGAATTCAGTGATCAGTTGATGTGTTAACATTTATTCGCTTTATTCACTAATCAGTAATAATAAGGTTGTCTAAAGTTCTTTACAAAATATTCAATTGAGTAGGATCTATTATCCATAAAACCTAATTTATTATTAAGTTGATAAACCTTTTGTTAATAAAACATAACTAGTTGATCAATGCTAAAATTCCAACTGCTCTAATCATATGTGACATTTGTTCAAACAACCAACTAATAGGTATTGCATTATCTTGTCTTTTAAAAAATCTTGTTTACATTAGTCTCTTTTATTATGTTTTTGCTAAATAAATAACATACCAGTTTTTATGCCCGCAAAACTAACCAATATTTTTTGACTAAATTCTCCAGAGTATAGAAGGAGAGTGTGGATCATGAATGAAAAACTCATTGCTACTTTTGGTTTACCAACTGTTCCTATTGATTATTCCACTTGGTGTTTTTTTTTGGTAGATATAAACGTATTTAGTTCAATGGCAATAATAATACTTGGTAATGATAAACAATCACCTTTTTTTTCTCCCATATTATGCCTGTTTATCTATTCCACTGAACTAGGAGGAGGAAAAGTATTCTCATCCACATTTTGAGTATTTACATTGATTTTCACTAGTTTTCTTTAGGCATAAATAAAAATGAACGAAAATCAATAATCGGGGGTTAATAGAGATTCTGTTAGGTGATTCCAGAAACATTTTGTAGGGTTTGATTTTTATGCAAAATTATTTTATTCGGATATAGTCAAACTAAGGTCATTGTGAGGTCATAGTCATTTATTAGTCATTGCGTTTCAGAAACGTAAAAATATTAGAACAACGGTAAAAAATTGTAATCATTTCTGAAAAGAAAAATGAAATAGACAAACCGAACAGTAGTTGTAGATGTAATAAATAAATCGAGTATCTACGTGGGAAAAGAATACAATATTCGTTTATTAGTAAATATATAAAAATGATTCGCCCCATGATCGGAGTGGAATACGATAGTGGGCTTTCAGAGTAAAATATTAGTCTCTTGTTTAGTTGCTAGCGACATCAAATGTAGTAAACGAATACCCAAGTAGGGAATAAACTTGTCGTCTTGTGCAAAATCATACAGCGGCTCAGTAAAACATTAAAATCATACATTAAATACATCATTTGCACAGTTTCTTTGTGTTGTCCCTTACACACCACTATATCTTTAATTCTGTTGTTATTTCGATTTCTTTCCTGTTCTCCTCATTTCAATTTTCTGTCAGGCATTCCACTTTTGATTGCCGCTACATACTACGTATATATGTTAGCTTAAGTAGCATACACCTTAATACAAGTTATATGTCTGTCTAACTGTATTTCAATTCGAATAAATTTAACGCGGTCAAAAGTAGTAAAAGGGTGTTATAGATTTTGATTATTACTTATTAGTCAACTTTTATCAAGAACTTGATTCGGGGAGACTATAGTTTATGGATGTTCTTTGAGCGACGCCAAAGTAACCTTGAGGATGTCCAACTACTACCTAGGACTAC